TAAGAGGCAAATAATAATGATTGTGCCATAATCAAGCAACTCTAATGGCTTTTAAATATTTTACTCCGTCACTCTATGGACATAGACTTTACATAGCCTGTGAAATTATAAAATATTTTTTTCTTGCTGTTTACCATTTTAGCATGTTATGGTAAAATACTGTACTGCATGTTTTGTCTTAATGTCCTGCTTAGTCTCGTAAACAGCAAAAAGCAGGTTATAAGTACTAGCAGATGCCCATCATAAAGAATAAGAAAAACAGAAGGAGAGAGTGAGATTAAGATGAGGATTATAAAGGGCATTAAAATGACACAGATTACTGATGACACTGCCCTAAAGTCAGCAAAGAAAACTGCCGGTTCAGCAGTCAAGCAAACAAACTGCAACAAACAACATGATGAACAGCTCAGATTGTTTGGCAGAGAAAACCTGTCTATAGACTAGATCAACTTTGTTTAACTTGTGTTTTTTTGTAAACTTGCCCCTTATGGTGCATATAAGGCTTTCTTGACCTGCTGACCTGCTTATGTCTGAATGTGTTAATAATAAACAAGGCAGTTGTTGCTCACTTAATCCTACTGAGGGCCATTTGCACACTTATAAAGGTACACATGGTGCAATGGCTGAAATTGCCCTTGCCTCTATGGTTTAGCACAAAGACTGACATACAGAGAGATTACATTGTTCCAGGCAAAGACAACTTTTTTCTCTTTTGAATTTACTGAGAAATAATATTAATAATAATATTGTAAAATTTAAGTAAGAGGATAAGCATGTTTTAGTAACCCTTAACATAACACACAAGGTTGTTTCAATTCTGCATTATTGGAGTAAACTGCTAACCCTTGAATTTTTCATTCAAGGGTGAGACAAATGTTTCCTAGTAGTGGTAGTAGCTGCAGTAAGTAGTAGTGGCATTTATACTATACTTTACAATTTTATAGTAATATTTAGTATATGATGGAAAGTCTCCATTAAACCTCCACAAGTGTCATTAGGGCTGGACAATGTATACGATTTTAATCAACATTTAGTTTTAGGTTTATGGATAATTGATGTGTGTGTCTTTTTAACTGAAGGGTTTAAACAGTGAGTCATGTTACTCTGTCTGTGAAGACATTGTGGTTTGAAGCAGTGTTTGGACTTTGGAGGAATAAATTGTGCTACTTTTTGGTTAAATGGGAGTGAAAAAAGTTTAGTTTATGTTCATGAAATCAATATTGAAAGCCATATTTATTTATATTTTTACAACATCTAATGGAAAATAGAAATTTAGAGATGGACCGATATATATTTGCACTTTTTAACATATACATATCAACCCCGAAACTATTGGCAGAGCTTATTGGGCATAGTGTTGTAAGCAATTTGTATCGCCATCAGCCATGAAAAAAAAAAAAAACATAAAAAAACTTGATTCGATTTTTTGCCATTATATCACCCAGCCACCAATGCCCTGGGAATAGTCGTGCATCCCACACCCTGCACCCTCCTCTGAGCATTGGGATGAACTCACTGTCACATGTGATGAGGCCAAAGGTGGTGAAGCAGATCAGGACACCACAGTGGCCACTCATTGCAGGCCTACATTTCTTGTTTATGAAACGCACAGGTCAAATGCGGGGTTCAGACAAAAGCATTGGTTTCATTGCAGCATCCAGGCACACTGCACAAAGCCATCTTTTCATCCCTCCCTGGTCATCCCTCCAAGTCCATAATTATCTTTGACAAAACTCATTAGCGGGGACCTTGTAACAACATCGGCCATCAGAAATTCCACGAAAGGGCGACATGCACAGAAACAATACACCACACACATTTCATTGCGCCTTTTGACGAAATGTAATGAACTGTGTATATTGTCCCCCTCATGTGAACCCTAAGCTATTGGTACAAAGACTTGGTTTTTGTGCCCAGCGTGGGACACATCAGATAGCACCTCCACACTGCCTTATTCGGGGAAAATTATTGTTTGAGAAGTTGTTGTTGTTATTGTGCTGTCTATTTATAACAGGCAGCCATTGCTATCATGTCAGGATAATCTATAGTCTTCTGCAGCCGAGGCACATGCTCATTAAGATGGGGCCTGTTTGCCATGCCTTGTAATTGATTGGGAGTTTTGCTAATTGACAATAACCCCTCACTTTGACCTCCAGAACAGAATAGGAAACAGTGAATAGGCACTCACTTCATAACCTGGCAATCCGCATGGCAAATAAAGTTCAGCTGATTAATTTGTCTTTTTATGTTAAAACGGACTGATCTTTTAAAAATATGAATACATTGTATAAGTAGTGATCCAATTAGTATTAGTTTGGATCAAACCATAGAATAAAACACATTTTATTTAAACAAAACATATTGGAAGGGACATAATTACTAAAATTACTGACCCATTAGTAGTCATAGTAGTCATGATGTTTACCCTGATTTGTTTTTCTTGCATATTTGTGCCTCATTCACAGATTATCTAAAATCTGTTTTGGATTATAGCCACATGCGCTCATACACACCCCCATCCTTGACCTAATGAAAAATGTAATTCATGAAGATGTCATGTATTATGAAGATTACACTATGTATATATAGGCTACCTTGGAGCCATGCATTGTCCTGTGGTGCTGCATAACCCATGTCTAGGCCAGGATTAGATGCTACACAATCAAAGTGTACTGTCTGTTATTCTGAGCCCAACTCCAAACGTGACATGTCCCACCCTCTATCATGTCTGGTGCAGCTGCTGCAGGTCTATATGCAAAGCATTGGACAGACTAATTGACCTGTTAGCTACTGCCGGCATATGCTGCTATATGAGCCCATTATAGCCATTATCTATGGTTTTCCCCCTAGGTACATTGCCATGGTGGTAATCCCATTACGCATGCATCATTACCTTCAATGGCACAAGGCAACTTTTCTTTACGGCCTCCGATTTAATTACATTTGGTTGTAAATATTTTATACACACATGCCGCATGTTAATGTAAAGAGAGAACCCCTGTCATTACACATACAGTGGCCTGTCATCATGTTTCTATACTGTTAGGAGCACCTACAGTGGTTTAACATAATGAACAGCGTTTATTTTGCTTGCCTAACCGTATATTTGTACATCTGAATTTGGACTTGATTTAACAGGAAAACTGTAATATCGAACCTTTTTTTGGCCCTATGGCTCTATTGGACAGAACAGCACAGGGCCAAATGCGGTAAAGAGCTGGGAGAGCCATTCAGATAGTTGGTGCTTGGACTTATAGGCAGGCTCATAGGCAACGTCACTCAATTGCCACATGATATATTATGAATATACAAAAGACTAAGAGCACTGAATATAAAATCTACTGCCTGTACTATTACTGACCTGTGGTAGAGTATTGTGGCAAGAGTGATGGATGTTCAAAAATAAATAAATAACTGTGATGAATAAAAATAGTTTTTGTGGTCACAGAAAATAATAAAATCCAATAAACCTGTGTAGGAGCAGCTCTATTCTTTCCCCAAATGTAATTTAATCAGAAAGTTGGTGCCTGAGATTATTAAGGGATCACTGTGTGTGTGAAAGGCAAAGAATGACTCTGCATACACATATTAATTTGAAGCTGAAGAAAGTTTCATGGCATTGCCGCATCTGACATCACAGAGCTGCATGTGGGCTCATCTCCAGCAGCTGTCCGTGCAACCAGACGGACTTTTAGGCAAACTCTCCCAAATCAAAGGGACTGCCATGGCCCATGTGAATTTCTCTGGTGGGTTTGATCCTACAAATGACCTTTTAATGAACACAATGTTAGGTTAGTGCACAGGCTGCCTGCACAAGGGACAAAAGCACCATTCATTCTCTGCCTGTGCCGCGAACAGTAACTAAGTGTTTGATGCCACTCCTGATTAGGTACCGACAATGTAGACCCGATGTCCCTTTTTTATTCCTCGACTTGTGCATTTCGTTCACGTCCTACAATGAATTATGACCTTCCATCAGTACACCAGCTTTTTCTTTCTATTCTGGATGATAAACTTTGATCCACACCTTATTAATCAGCATTTTAATTGGCTCGTAGAAATAACCACAAAACAGAGGAAGATCCTGAAAAGAGTATAATTACAAAAGAAGGAAAAAAAAACATGACATAATGACAATTACAGATAAATCACATTTGAAGACAACGATAGTATTGCCCAGGTCCAGTTTGCAAAAGATTTTGGATCTCTGGTAATTTTTGTGGAAATGTTAGACAGGTCTTTTACAAGCAGAATTACAAAACCATGTAAACAAACATTTAAAATACATTAAAACATCCATAATAAATAAATACAATAAATAAGATGAATAAATATCTACCCTACTTGATTGCCATAAACACTTCAGGCCAAGTATTCAATAAAGGGCCATTCTTGTGTCTTTGCATCTAGATTTTTGCATAAAGTTGATGAAGAAAAAAAAAATGTGCAAAATGATCCACAGCTCAGAATGAGTCCATATCCGTGTCACATCACAACGCTCCATCCAAAACATCCTTTAGTGCATATTATGTCCCATTGTATAGGTGCATGTTGATCTACAAAAGACCCAAAGTAAGAATTTTTGAATTGAGATGGTTATTAGAAAATGTAATCCAGTTGCGGTGAATTATTTGGGTGAATTACATAAGTAACTATTATTATTATATATTGTATTTGATTGTATTGAGTTTTATATTATGGACTTCAGCTATGCCAATGAGAGATTATGAAAGTTTACAAATCCACCAAGATAAAGATCAATAAATTATTACCAATTTAAAAACATCTCTCAGCACTTATTACTGCTTGATAGATTTTAATTTAAAATGTTTACTTTTTCCATGATTGCAAATGTGTATATGTATATGTAACTTGATGCAGACTTAATTAATATTATAATAGAAAATATGATCTACATATGATCAAGGCAAATAAAAGATATAATAAAATGTGTGTGTGCATTAGTTCAGTTTCCAGGTCAGTAGAGCCTCTCACCTGCTTCACCTCTTCATCACAGGTCTGAACGCAGTCACCTTGTCATCTGCTAAGGTTGCACAGGCTTGGCTCAGGCCAGGGGACGGTGTCTCAGCTTTGCCACTAGGGAACTCTGAAAAAGCAACAGATAACGTGCTCCTTAGCACCAGTTTATGCAGTATTCTCTGCACTGTTTGTATACTGATGGCTTAGTTTGGAAGGATTGTGTGAAAACAACGCAATAAAATTGTCAATATAAAGACAGTTACAGTTTATATGTTATATAGTATTTTATAACATTTTGCATCATAGTGTCAGTAATATTTTATCATAAATTTGTAGAGGCATGGGAAATCTGTAAGTGAAAACAGAAGGGCTCCATTGCATGATCCATGTGAGCCAATCACACCTCTCAACAGAATATAATAATTGTTATGCAGTACAAAAAATGTAAGTTGGATAAATTCATGTTTTTGATTGAACACAAACATTTTGATAAAAAAAGTGTTTTACCTTCTATAGTGGAAGTGTATGGATATGTATCTGCCAAGCCAGCATACGATGAACAGTGCAGATGGATGCCCTTGTGGCTGTAGCTTCCAGCTCCATACACTTTTGGGTGCAATACCGAACTTTCAGAGGAGAAAGAGTTTTCTGAAATAGAAAGACTTGAGTTTTCATTAAGGCCCCTTATCCCTGCACACTGTCCAGCAGGAGACACAGGAAGCCTGGTGCTCTGGAGCTGGCAGGATGACCCCGTTCTGAGCTCTGAGCTGGGCTGAGGCTGTTGCTGCTGCTGTGGACTCAGAATAACCCCCAGTGCTGCAGTGCGAGCCAGAGACCAGATCCTGGGCTTGTCCGGAGATTCAAAGTGCGACAGGGCTCCCATTGGGCTGGATGAAGACCTGGAGACCACTGGATCAGGGTAGTCAGTGGTGAGGGGCGGGAGAGAGCTCTTGATGGGACAGGAGAATGTAGTGTTGAAAGTGTTTGGTAAACCCAGGTGCAGTTCCGAGCTGCAGTCTCGTTTTTGGAGGCTCCCAGAGATGTTCATGACCTGTAGGCCGGATCCGTCTCCTGTCACCTTCTCACAGTCACTGTCCAGTTTGTCACAGTCTTCATCATCCATGTCGTCCAGGTCACTTAACTGCAAGTCCTTCTCCTCTTTGCAATCAGTTGTATCTTTAAATAAGTCAAAAAAGGGCATGATTACAGGCATGATGAAAGTATAACAATGTATATATATATATATATATATATATATATATATATATATATATATATATATATATATATATATATGTATTTATTTATTTAATGTTTGTGTGAAATAATATGCTTTTTAACTACAGCTATGCTATGAAAAATAGCCAAGTTAGTTCTCTTTATAAAGCATGAATAAATGAACAAGGTGTACACTGTAAACAATATAAATAATATAGTGAGAAATGTGTTACTACATAGTTAAAATGTATTAGTGCATTTGTCCCATCTTAAAGCAAGATATTATTCTGTGCATGCGTGGGCCTTTGCCGTTCTAAACTTTTACACTGTATAAAAAACTAAGAGCTTTATCTCTGGTAGTTACCTTTGGTTACACAGTCGTGGTCATTTTTGTCCACTTCGTCCTTTCTGTCTTCCCCTGGTTTGTTTTTAGGGGACCACGTCATTTTGTTCTCCTTTTTGAGTCTCCTCCTTGCGTTGGCAAACCAGGTGGACACTTGTGTGAGGGTCATCTTGGTGATGATTGCTAGCATAATTTTCTCGCCTTTAGTGGGGTAGGGGTTCTTGCGGTGCTCATAAAGCCATGTTTTTAAAGTGCTAGTGGTTTCCCGAGTGGCATTCTTCCTCCTGGCTGTCCCGTTAAAATCTACTGTCCCATACCTGGATATACACACACAGAGCACAAGTCATAAGTGCTGTTCAGATGACGTTCTGTACTCTTCACTGTTTGCCAGATATCCAGGTGGAGTTACTACTTGACTTCTGACACTGAATGGCTGCTTTTGTAGAATATTTTGTGGTAGAAGAGACAAACCTGTCGTACTGATATTGGCCCAGTGAGTGGTCATAAGGATAGTAAGCAGCTGTCTGAGCGATTCCAGAGTGCAATGCGCCTGTGCTGTCCTTGATGTCATACTGTGGATTCTGCAAATACACACAAGTTTCAATAAGTAAAAATTAAAATACTATAAAACTGTTTGAATTGTATGTTTTATGTTTGTATTATATGTTTTTAATTATTTAATTATGGTCCTCACAACAATACTTGGACTATACTAAAATAAGCAACTACAGATGTTAAATATCATTGTGTATTATTAAATATAGGCTATTTCTTCTCGTTTCTGTTACATCTTTACGATCTGTTGGGCAGTTTGCAGGTTTGTTACTTTGTCTTATGTATCTCTGAACAGGTCAATGCTCTTTTTTTATTTAGACTAACTGTGTTTCAATAACTTTGGGATGACTTGTGACATATATATATAAATGTTCGCTTTGAATAATGAAAATTGCACGCACAAGCACGCTACCCACCAGAGAGGAGTAGATGGCGGATGGGTCGGTGCTGTAGGGGAAGTAGTTGGCATAGTTCTGGCTAGCGGCAGCAGCGGCTGCATACGGGGAGCTGTAGACGCCCAGTGCCGTGTTGAGCTCCGTGCGGCTGCTCGCCAGGAGCCGGTTCTCGTAGGAGGGGCAGCAGAAGGACGCGGCTGCAGCCGTTTGGGATGCGCCTGTCCCGTCAGAGACAGATCTGGAAATCGAATCGCAGCAAGTCGTACTGGGGTTTGCCGACACGAAAAACTGCATGAAGAGAACCATGGATACAGTCACTGTCTGTTATGGCTCGGTTTTGGATGCCCTGCGTGTATGAAGAGCTTTAAGGTGCTGTGCAAGTTGGATCAATGTATAACAACCTCTGGTCATTGTTTAAGTTTTTAGGGTTGGCGTCAGATAGGGCAAATGTTTATAGCTCTGCTGATGCGTTATATAAGTCAGGTGAGTGGATTTTTAAAATATTGTTGAACAAAAATATCCTTTTAAAAATATACTTTCTTTGCATGGAAATTAACTATTTTAAATGTTGTTATTAAGTTGCACGATGAATATTTTTTTCTTTTTAAATAATTGTAAGAATTTGAAAAAGAGATGACTAAATGTAATGTAAAAAAAAAAAAAAAAAAAACTTCAGACAACTTTGTGGCATGAAAAACTCTCTTACTGTGTACCCTGCTTTTAAGTATAATTGTGCAACATAGTCTAATATAAATAAAGTCTAACTGAAGCACTTTTCTCAACTTTTCGTCTTTCTTTTGTACATCCACTTTCACGTGGCATTCAAAACAAGTTGTGAACGCGTGCGTGGCAGCCGACTTACAACTCACCCTGTGTGAGATAGGTGACATTCATCTCTATTGTCATCCGAAAAACACGTGAGTTCATTCATAATTCAGTGTAATTGGACACGTCTCTGTGTGTGCGCCTATTGATATTTGGTCCGACAACAAACTCGTCAAGAGAAAATAGCCGTCAATATGTCACTCATATATTATTTTTCCGATACGATTGCGAGACACGCAGGAGCCAAATCGTAAAAATATAGTTATAAAAATATCATGCAATAAAAACGAATGTCTTACCTGTGACGTTGCATTGTAAGGATATCCAAACTGTGAGAAAGACATAGCTGCGTCTTTTGTTCCCATCAGCAATATTCTTCACCCTTGATCGATTGCAACCAATTCTACTTCAAATCCAGCGTCTTCCACACATTTCCACACACGGCCTTTCGCTCAATAATAGATGACTTCACTCATAGGAGGGAGACTTTAGGCTGGTACCAGCTGCAGATTGTTTTATATGAATGAATAATCCCCCCAAACGACCCGATAAGAAATTAAATTAAGCATCAATAAGCGCTGCAACCCAACCAAAATGTTGTTGTTAGCTAAAGGAGGCTTAAAGGATAACGTAAGACTTGCAAGATATGGACTCTGCTTGTGCTATTATTTGTGGCTCTATAGTTCTTTAGCATTCATCCATGCAAGGGTATCAGCGTGACGTCACGGTAATCCCGGAACGCCAGGGTACCAGGGATAGAATAATGTCTTTGCCAATCACGTCCAGCCTAGGCTTTTCTTAAGATGCACTGTACACGCTTTCTCTGCAACATATATAGTTGTTATTGAGTGTCATTTGTTCGAAAATGTACATGTGTAAGCTAGAGGGACGAATCTAATAAATCACAATTATTTAACTGTTGACAAACAAACTAAGAAAAAACAAAGACAAATAAACACAATGGTATATTTGTCATGCAAACACGCGCACTGCAATTCTGTAGTTTTAATCTCACCTCCGGCTCAATGACCAGAGGTCCAAGCCTGGAGTTAATGACGATGATGTTTCTATCCTTCTCTATTAGAGAGAGGGGCAGTCCCAGCTGGAAGGCTTTTTGGCAGGTCAATAGACCAATGATTGATGCGCGCCTGGAGACCTACGTGACCATTACGCCTAATGCGTAATTGTATCAATTAACAAATGGATACATGCCCTTGTTAAACTAACAACCAACAGAGTAAAATATGCCTTAGGTTGTAAAAGAGAGACGGTTCGTCTCGCTATGTTTAAATAGACTATTGGTGGTTGTGGGTCACAAGTTTCTTTTAATTGAATGATGCGCGCCTAATAGTCAGTCTGGTGAGGCGTCTAATCTGTGTATTTTTAGGTTGTTTAAGATAAGGAATCCATAAACCCATGTCCCCTATTGAGCTGGGACAGAAAGAGGCGTGTCCTTTTGTGTGATCCGTCATATGATTTCCTCTGAAGCTGTAGAGTATTTGGTGGCAGATCCACAAATACTCTGCATTCTGTTACTTTTCTCTCTCCTGAGACGCTTACTAGCTTACTGTGATTACTAGCGTTCTCTCCGGGGGGCGCTAGAGAGCTGCTGTGTGGCAGATCAGCATATCCCTGCAGAGATCTCCCAAAGATAAGAGAGTGGTCTGAGCGGTCATGGTGCAGGTTGATAAAAACACCCAGGATAAAAATAAATCAGAAAAGAATATGTCTGATGATCCAGACTGTACAACCTCAACAGGCAACAAAGTTTCAACACTACAATACAAGTTAAGACACATGTATAAAATATTTATTTCAAAGTCTGAACACTATTCAATATGTACTGTCTTAAGCCATTTAAGTAGCTAAAGCAAAGTTATATGTATACAACTGGTGTTATACTGATGGAAGTGCTCTACATCACAACACAAAGTTTCCAAATCATAGGGAAGCTAGATTTGGAAATTAAAAAAATGCGTTCTGAAAAATATGTCCAATAATAAACCTGTCCAATCAGAACAAACAACAGACAAAAACAAAACAATTTATTTCAAACCAAATCCTAATGTTGACCTCTTCAGGCTGTGTGGTTACTAATATATCTATGCCATGCATACTTCTTGATTAAAGGCATTACTGAACGATAAAACTGCAGAAAGGTTAAGTCAACACTGAATAGCTCCCAGCCCTATATTCTAGTTAATACATTTCCTATGCTGGCTTAATGAATCACACAAAGCCTCTCTAGTTTTTCATCAGATGGGCCAGGCGATGCCAGTGCTAGTGGTGAGTATGAAATGGATATATGAAGGGCAGACCAGCAGAGGAATGGAGGGGGATGCCTGAGTCAGGCAGGTGATGAAGTCGCCCCTACCTGGAGCTGTTCAATCTCATTAAAACCAAATTGGTATATACCAATAAGTCCAGGGCATCTGTGGAATCTAGAATTATGAGATGCAAGTCCCCCCACATTATTACTAAATTATCCAAAATGGAAAGAAAAGTAATAAATATTGTAATGAGATATATTGGAGCAATTGCAGGTCTGGTCATTGCAGTGGTCTATTATTGCCAAAACAAACATCTCCAGGGATCCAGAATAATTACACAGGACTGAAGAGGCCATTAAGCTTCATCAAACAATGGAGAAAAGATAAGACATTAATGAAATAATATGAAAAAGGCTGTAATCTGGCATTTTTGTAGAGACCAGATTGTGTAAATTTCCACTGGTCAATTCATCAAAATTGTGTTCTATCTTGTTAAATAATAACAAAACACATATCTCTCTACTATGGTTAGTTCTTAAATGGCTAAAGTTTAGATTTCTAAAATGGGAATGTGAATTGTCACATTGAAATATTATTCATAGCACAACAAAGTCAAAATCCCTTTGTTCTATAAAACTTATATGCAATTGTTGAATTTTTATTCTAGTTACCCTCAGCCCTTTAGCATAACTGCACACATGAATTGTACTTGAATGGACATGTACGTGGCTATCTTATGTATATCCTAATGACTTTGATTGATTCCAGTCTGATGTTTAACTTTGAGTTGGGAAGCACTACGTATCCCAGAGGCCCCAGGGGCTCCTGGGAGAGACTGAGGCAGACAAAGGCAGAGACAAGAGACAGGGAGGCGTATGTGTTGTTTGTGTGTGCTTGTGGCACAGTCCCCTTGAGGCTCCACTGTAATGCTATCATCAGTGTGGTGTCAGGGATTTGTACTTGTCACACACACAATCACACTCAGCACTACTAGTGACTCTGGGAAATCACTGCTTATAGGAGTCTGCCCAGTGTCTAGTGTGTGAGAGAGTGAGGCGGAGAAATGTGAACAAGTGGGAGGAATATACGTCTGTTTTGTCCCGAGGGGACATGTGTGAATACTGCAGCTCGTGTGTTGATATGTGGATCTATGTTGCATTCTTTTATCCACCAGCCTTAGGCTCTTGTGTGTTTTTGTCGTCAAACTCGCTGTATCTACATCGACTGTGTCAAATTCCCTGTAGTGACACTTCTGTTCCCCTGTGCATTAATATACACATTCCTGATCAAATGTATGTTTGCAGTCACCCACAGCTGGGACTGCCACCCTGTCTTGTCCAGTTGACTGTGTGCCAGTATCAGCATTGGTGTAGACTTTGAACAAAAGATATTCTTCAGACTAAAGGCTAAGCTAAGTATGCGAAAATATAATTTATTTAAATTATAGAGAAGACTTATTTACTCAATGTTAATGTGACGTCTTCCTGGAAGCATGTGTTCGGAGGGAGAAAATGGACAATAACTATAGGCTCCCTAAGTACAGTTGCTAAAGCAACAGCACTAAATATCATTCTAATGACTTGTGTATGTCTTTGGCTGTCACTCTCATGGGTAAGTATATAGAAAAGAAAGATGTACTTCTTTAACATATATTCACTTGACTGCCAATATTGTATACTGCATATTTTTTTTCTCTCATTAGAGATTTTGCTCAATCATAATTGTCTGTAAGATTTTAAATATTAGTGGACATGAGGCTTAAGTGGTGAGAAGTTGTCTAAAGTTGTCTTTTGCACAAAACCAGAGTGTTGTGGAGCTTCTTTCAGTGTTGTACCACAGACAGCGGCCCGAGCCCATCTGGTCCTGCTTCAGTCTGGTTTACTGGAGAAGCATTGCCAATACAAATAGCTTTGCTTGATATTTGTTTGCATAAATTGTTGTGAAAAGCATCACCAAGAGTTTTTTTGAGTGGATTATGAAGGGGAAGTTTAGGGCAGCCAAGCGTGGTGAAATAATCCTGTGTTAGATTTGTTCATCTTTAAAAGTGGAGAAAATGTTTTGGATTTTCCCTTGGTTTTGGCAGGAGGTTTGGACAGTGAAGTTTCGTGGCTTGTGTGATCGTCTTTGTGTATTTGTGCATGGGCACACGTGTGTGACATGTGGTTGTACTATAATGGAGAATGCCGGGATGTTCTCTCTTTATTTTAGCATAGTGGTGTCAGTTTGGATAACATCACCACTTGCTTTAACACAAGCAAAAGTTCATCTGAAGGTTCAGAGGCCCATATCAATAGAGGGGAAATGTTTCTGATCCAAAAGGCCTTGTGCATACACTTTGATATTTCTTGAGGTCAAGGAATGACTAAAAAGAAGGTAAATGTATGTATTAGCTGGAATTACGCTTTTAATACATACATAAAAACAAAGTGAAAACATATCTCCAATTTCAGAGGCCCACTTGCAGCTATTCTTCTAATGCTGAAAATGTTCTCTCCAATTTAAATAGCTTTGATATCTCAGAGTATGGTTGCAACAGTTTAGCAATTCATTTCCTGTTCAGGGACAGTAATTTGTCTCTAACAATTTTGTCACAAACACATCACAGATCACATGTGTTTATGTCAAGAATCCTGGAAAAAATACAAATAGGATGAAAATTCCTATTCAAACGATGACATTTAAGTAGCTCTGTTACACATTTGCTGCCTAGCCAGTGGAGGTCTTTTCATGGTACTTCCAACTAGATCCAGATGCTTTTGCTTTAGTCTTTGTCCTTAGATTCTCTGTACTATCAGTTTGGAGGAACAGTAATGGACATTTTTGCCCATAGACATAGATGTATATCTATTTTCAAGTGATCAAGACTAGATTTTTATTTTCAAAAGAAAGCATTGTTAGGTTATGTAGTTACAGACTTACTGATTTTATAGACAAAGGTTGTTGTACAACTGTGGAGGTTGTACAACTAATATGCAACACATATATTTACACAATTATATATAAAAATAAGAATATGTCAAGTGCAATCAGTTCACCTAAGAGTTAGTTAGTAAGTTAATGTATTAATTTCATTTATGTTTTTTCCTCTTTCATCC